GAAGGACCACTTTAAAGAGGGCCAAGGAACAGAAAAGGATTTTTAAAAAGGGACAGAAATTTTCAAAAATTTAGGACCATAAAATGGGTAAATGAGATGCTGATACTGGAGTGCTTACTTTGCTGACTTTTTAAAAATGTAGCAAGAAATAATAATCAGAGATTAAATTATCACAGCAGAAAGTTCTCTGCTTCTTTGAATTGCTTTCTAATTCAGCCTGACCAGATGACTTTGCATCCACCCTAGTTTTGCAAAGCACACCTGCCCTTAAAATGAATGCATCAATAAATTCATCCTTTGATCTCTTATCACATGGTGTTTCAAAACATCAGAGTCTGAAGCTGTGTCTTGAATAGTGACCAAACCTCAAAAAACACAACTCTGAGTTTGGTCCTGAGCCCATAAAATCTGAAGACTTGCAATCTCAGCCACAAGTCTTTTTTTTTTTTTTTTAACTTCATAAAAATATGCAGAAGTGGTTCCTTTCTGTCAGCAATTTTAAGGTTTAAAGGATTAGATTAAAAATTTATGGCTATTAAGTAATAAGATTTCCTTTTTAAACAATTTTAACTTAAAGGTCTGCCTCCTAACGAGCCCTTATTCACATAAAAGTAGGATCCTCTAGTACTTTCCCCACCCTGATGGGCCACTTTGCTCTGGATTCCTGAAGGAGAAACGGATTTGTCACACAGACTCTCAAGGCAGTTTCTGCTACCCAATCTAAGCCACTGCCATGGCCACCATAACTGCTGTCAGCTCTGGATCCTAAACCCCTGCTCCAAGCTCCTCTCAAGCCTGTTCATGGTCTTGCCTACTGCAACCAGTTATTTCCTCAACATTCTGTTTATCCCAAGTGTAGAAAACTGCCCCTTCTCCTTTACTAACATATACTATTAGTACATAGTTCTTTTTATCAAAGGTTTAAGGGTAACAAAGAGTAATTGTAGTACAGTGCAGAAACAATCTCAAATTGAATTCTACGTATTATTATTAAAGGCTTATCAGTATTCCTCTTTTTTTTTAAATTTTATTCTTATGTTAATCCCCATACATTACATCATTAGTTTTAGATGAAGTGTTCCATGATTCATTGTTTGTGCACAACACCCAGTGCTCCATGCAGAATGTGCCCTCCTCAATACCCACCACCAGGCTAACCCATCCTCCCACCCCCCTCCCCTCTAGAACCCTCAGTTTAGTATTCCTCTTTTTAAAAAAGATTTATTTATTCATTTAAGAGAGAGAGCTTGAGTAGGGGGAGGGGCAGAGGGAGAGCGAGATAAGCAGACTCCCTGCTGAGCAGGGAGCCAGACTCAGGGCTCCATCCCAGGACCCTGAGATCATGACCTGAGCCAAAATCAAGAGTCTGAAGCTCAACCAACTAAGCCACCTACGCGCCCCGTTTCGTCAGCATTCCTGATCATCTTTCTCCTTAAGCCCCTTCCTCTGTCATGGTTCTGGAGTCTCTTTCCCTCACTCCAAAACTTTCTCCTATTTTTCTTCTATTTCCTACTCCTACTGATCTTAGCCAGAGAGAGGGCATTTCTCAAATTTCTGTTACTTTGTTCTGCAAAGGGAATCTAAGCTCTTCTCTTTCAGTCTTTCTCTTCCAGACACTGCTTAGAGACCTAACCTCTATGACTAACAAAAAAAGCCCATCTAGGCATCTTCTAAACAAAAATTCATTTTTCTCTGTAAGGAATACTCCATCCTTTTAGGTTATCTGGCAAAAGCCACAGCCCAACCCTAAATAATAATTTTTTCTTCCTGTAATAAACATATACCAGCAATTTTAGTCAAATAACTGTTGTACTCTCCAACAAACCCCCAGGAGTGGCTATTCACTTACTAGAATGATTATTATCACTATTGAATTATCTTCTAAACAATTTACTAATTCCTCAAGAAAAGTGGCTTATTGCTGTGTTCAGAACATCTTCCTTTGGTCTAATTTCCTTACCTCTGCTTCAATCTCTCATTCTCATGCCTACATTCATTCATTCATTCATTCATTCAGCCAACCAACCAGTGTACATGGCACTAGATGTGGGAAACGGGATCCTAGTACTCAAGATACTTTCAATTCAGAAGGGGCTGTACCAGTTCTGCCTATGAACCAAGACATGAGGAGGGCAGAGTTCTGTGTGATTAGACTGAACTCTAAAGTTAGGACAAATTTTATCAAGTTGTCACTATCTTATATGGACACTCTAGGCTTGAGATGGAAAGTTGCTGCTTGCAGGCTAACCATTAGGACCTCCAGTCCATAGAGACATATAGTACATTTCTGCAAGTAGGCTAATAATGCTAATAATGCTGCCTCTTTTCTGAAAATACTGTATATAGCCAATGGAATTGAAGTTTCCTCAACTTTAACTGCTTTCCATTTATTCATTCAACTAAGAAGTATTTATAAGGGTCTATTTTTTATGGGCTTGAGAAGGACAGCCACATCTACGAATATCACATTCATTTATAACTATGTTCTAGGCATCATGTTATTATCAATCCAATGAACAAAGTCAAGAACTGTCTGGTCAATTATACCTCAATAAAGTTGAAGAAAAAAAAAGAACTGTCCGTTCTTTTATTACCACAATAACAGATCTTCATAATGATAGTTGTGAGTCAATAGTAGAAAATTATATCTAGAATATTATCTTGGAGAGGGGCAAGTATATAATGTATTTTATAGAGAAAATGTAAAGTAATCCACAAAAGTAATGTATTTGTCTTTCTGCATTTGAAGAATTAATCTTTAGTTACATAGAAAATGAGAATATTCAGAAAGATACTTCTTTCCCCAAGGATTCTAGAGAGTAGAAGTTCACTCTACTTGATAACACGTAAGTCAACTTTTAGGCAATTGAATGTCTTAATTCAAAAATAATCTTTAAAGTGAATTTCCTGTCTAAATTTATTTATTTTCAGGATCCATGTAAAATAAGGGAAACTTGCATAAGTATTTCTTATTGTTCCTCTTTTGTTATTTAAGCCAATGCTAAGCAAAGTTGTAAGGTACCCAAAGTCTGTCTTGATATACTCCTATCTCCCTAATTCTTGGATAGCACCTTGGACATACACTACTCTGTGGCTGCTCAAGACTTCCCTAGTTCACCGGACCCGATGACATCTCATGCCTAACTCATTCTTCAAAATATAACCATCCTTGGTCATATTCCTTCCAGCATCCAACTGCAAATTGGGCTAATCTCATAAACCAACTCAAGCTAACATATTAATTAATGATTATAATAGCTTAATACATTTCTGCTTTCAGGGAAATGTGCAAAACAATAGGAGATTTATAGAAATTTAATACCATAATCCAACAATAGGGAGTATTTTTCCCATTTATGGTCACCAACCAACTAAATCTAAAATTAAAGTAATAACAAAAATAGTCAAGGGTTATAACAAAAATAAACCAGTTTACATCTAACTTTAGTTTGAGAAAGGGAGGAAAATGAGAATATACTACCTGACATTTGTGTATAGTCTACACATGTATTTACTGCTCTTATATAACATGTATTTTTTTATTCAGTTTAATATTTAAAACAGTGCTATAAGTTCATACTTTTCCTATTTTAGAGATGACAAAAGTTAGTCTCAAAGAGGTTACATTACTGACTATCAAAGAGCACAGCAGGGACTCTAAACAATTCTAATCCCAAGTATTTTTCCACCATGCACAACTCCTTTAAGTGTTCGTATCTCATTTGAAACTGAATAAAAGAAACACGAAAATACACAGATGCAATGATAAAACTATACTTCATTCCACATATGGCCAGTTTAAAAAGTAAGGAATAAGATGGGGAGGGAGAGTGAGCGAGCCAGGTAAGAGGAAAAGTACGCAAAGAGATTACTGAGTAGAAATGTCAAAGATGGAAAAACAGGTCAAGGAGGGAAAGAAAGAAAGAAAAAGACAGGTGTGTCTGAAAGGAACGATGAGTTGAAGTCTGGACCCTCTGGGGTCCTCCACTTAGTGTTTGTGTCCAGCCAACACACCTGGCTTCACATCTCCAGAGCAGTCTTGCTCTTCATTCCTCCTCCTTGGCTCCAGTCAGCCAAAAATCTTCCCCCATTTAAGCCGTCCAGAGAACTGTGGGCTAGTATTTCCACAGATCCCCAGAGCCCTGACCTTATCTTGGTCCAATCGCTGTAATCACCATAATTAGTATTCCTTTCACTTCCCTGGTGATAAAACTAAAAGCTATTTCAGAAATCTGCATTTTCTTCCATCTCTGAGAATCAGTGGAAACCCGAGCACTTAGCCCGTAGTAACAAAACAACAAACAAATCAAAACCAAGACTTCTATCACCGAAACAGCCAATGATCAAACGTGCCTTACATACATGCTGTTTACTGAAAAACCACTGTTCTCAGATATACCATAAATAATAAAATGCCTATACCTCTTCACCGCTCATATTTCTAAGTTTTTGTTTTATTTAGTTCACTTATTATTCAGGTAAGTTAGGTACAACTGCTTTCAAAATGAGATAATAATCTTATATTGCTAGCATTCAACAAACTTCCGAAATCATTAGTAAATGAACAGGCCTGAGAGACACTGAGTTTGAATCCCAGCTTAGGCTCTTAGTATCTGAGTGACTGCACAAATTACTTAATAGCTTTGACCTTTGGGTTCTTCATCTATAAAATGAGGCTAATCCTATAGTACCAATCACATAGGTAGTTTTAAGAAGGAAAGGAGATGAGTGCTTGGAACTGCAGGACATGTAGTAAGCACTCAATGTTATTTCTTATTATTACCATTATTATTATTAGCCACTAACCTTGCCACCTGAATGCAGGAAACTTAACCATGAGATACCTTTGTACTTTGTTTAGAGAAGTTTGAGAAGTTTTAGAAAAATACTGGGTTTATATATAATAGATGAGCAGTAATACTAGAAACAAAGTCAAATATTTATGATCGTATACACTAAACTTGCAAAGCAGCAGCGTCATCCTTTTACAGAGGGTTTACCTCGAAGTCTATGAGCTGAAGGTCAGCAATCAGGGTCACCAGCAGCCCACTATTATAGAGCTCTTGTGCAAGCTGGGCCACAGCTTCTGTGGGGGGCTCCTTGTCATTTGTGCCGCACAGAATCTCTTTCATTGCTTGCAGTGATTTCGACACTTCCTCTGAAGCCTGGTGACCAAAAAATATGCTCACAGTGAAGAGGAATGAAAACTTTCAAGCCATAAACAAACAAAAAAACCCCACTTCTTGGATTCTGTTAATTTATGGTCAAAGAACCCTGTACAGTTACAAGCAAACAAAAAACTGTTTCACAGACATTGCTTTGTTTATTTTGGAAAATGTTGCAAAAATATATTTATAGAAAAAAATCTCTAGTATTTCTATTTGGTCAATATAATTGAAACACTCTTATTTTTTAAAAAATTATTATGTTACGTTAATCACTATCCATTACATCATTAGTTTTTGATGTAGTGTTCCATGATTCATCGTTTGTGTATACCACCCAGTGCTCCATGCAGAACGTGCCCTCTTTAATACCCATCACCAGGCCAACCCATCCTCCCACCCCCTCCCCTCTAGAACCCTCAGTATGTTTTTCAGAGTCCATCGTCTCTCACGGTTCATCTGAAACACTCTTCCTTTAAAACATACTCAGACATAGTCTAACCAATCTAGTCATTAACTATAAATTTTACTCTTTTTTTTTTTTTTTACTCTTAAAAATTAAAATGACTGTTTTAAAAGACTTGTCAGTAGCTATGGGTTTTTATTAAAAGCATTTGTTAAGGTTTTTCAACAAATTCCTATTACTCTGATTTTTTAATGGACTATTAATAAAACTGAATTGTCAAAACACACAATCGAATCATCAAAGCCCATTAAACTTTGTTAATCCACTTGTCTCTCCCACATAGTCATCACCTTTTTTTGCTCTCTATGAAACTTAAAAACAACGACAAAAAACTTCTCTATATTGTAAAGAGTAATAGGGAAATCCAAAGAAGTAGAAAGTAAATGAGTGGGTGCTTAGGCCTGAGGAGGGGACAATGAGGAATGACTGCTAACCAGTACAGGGTTTCTTTTGGGGGTGGTGAAACTATTCTTGAATTAGATATTGGTGATGGTTGTAGAACCCTGTGAGAATACTAAAAATCAATGAATTGTACACTTTATTTTTTTAATTTTTTTTAACATATAATGTATTATTTGCTTCAGGGGTACGGGCGTGTGAACTGTACACTTTAAAGAGGCGAATTATATGGGATGGAATTTACTCAATAGATCTTTTTAAAATTAATACAGGAGAGCAAAAGAGAACAGGCCAAAAAGTTAACAATGTAATCTGCTGAATATTTTTAAAGAAATACAGTTTTATTACTTTCAAGTATAGTTCTATAATCATTATAACTGAAGAAGGGAATAAAGAGAATAAGGCAAATTAAATACAAATAATTCATAGTAGCATGACACTACTTTAAAAAAATAATTTCCAGATACATTTATGATCTGACTGAAAAAATCCTTAATTTATTAAAGGTTGGAAGTTTCTTCAAGGGTGAGATTTATCCACAGAAGAGTACTTTAAATCATATGTAGTTAACAACAATTATAAAGCAAACATCTGTGTGACCATAACACAGGTCAAGAACAGAATACTTTCAGGGTGCCTGGGTGGCTCAGTCTTTAAGCATCTGCCTTCAGCTCAGGTCATGATCCCAGGGTCCTGGGATCGAGCCCCGCATCAGGCTCCCTGCTCAGCGGGAAGCCTGCTTCTCCCTCTCCTGCTCCCCCTGCTTGTGTTCCCTCTCTCGCTGCGTCTCTCTCTGTCAAATAAATAAATAAAATCTTGAAAAAAAAAATACTTTCAGAAACCCTGAAGTCACCTGAATGCAACCTTTTCAACCTAGAAGTAAATATTTTTATGTTTTTGATGACAGTCATTTTTTTCACTTTTCTTTATAGTTTTCCTACCTGTGTTTGCATCCCCAAACAATATAGTGTAGCTCTGCCAATTTTGAACTTTTTGGAATAGTACCTGTGACCTTTTATGAGGTGCTTCCTTTTTTTTTTAATTTTATTTTATTATGTTGTTAGTCACCATACATTATATCATTAGTTTTTGATGTAGTGTTCCATGATTCATTGTTTGCGTATAACACCCAGTGCTCCACGCAATACGTGCCCTGCTTAATACCCATTACTGGGCTAAACCATCCCCCCCACTCCCCTCCCCTCTAAAACCCTCAGTTTGTTTCTCTGAGTCCATAGTCTCTCATGGTTCATCTCCCCCTCCGATTTCCCCCCCTTCATTTTTCCCTTCCTACTATCTTCTTCTTCTTCTTCTTTTTTTTTAACATATGCTGTATTATTTGTTTCAGAGGTACAGGTTTGTGATTCATCAGTCTTACACGATCAGTGCTCACCACAGCACATACCCTATGAGGTGCTTTCACTCAGTATTATATATATGAGATCCATCCATGCACCTGCACGGAGGCAACAGTGTTTTAATTTTCATTGCTCTCAAGTTTTCCACTGATGGCTGGACCACAGTTCATCAGTTCTACCTTTGATGGACATTTGGGTTGTTTCCATTGAGGGGTTATTATGAACAGTAACATATGAACATGCTTGTACATGCATCCTGGTACACAAGTGCAAGATTATCTCTAGAGTTTATATCTATGAGTAGAACTGCGGGGTTTTAGCACATGTACATCCTCATCTTTGACAGATGATACTAGCTGGTTTCCAAAGCAGTGACACCATTTATACTTTATCCCTCACAGTGGAGGAAAGTTCTCATTGCTCTCCATTCTCGCCAACACTTAGTTTCATCCAACCTTTTTCATTTTTGCCAAGATAGTGGGTGTGTAATATGAATGTATATGGCTTTAATTGGCCTTTTCCTGACTACTCATGAAAATGAGTATCTTTTTACATTTTTTTTTCTGTCTTTTGCCATTTAGATTTACTCTCTTATGAAGGTCATTTCTTCTTTCTAATTGAGCCAGTATTTGGTTCAGTATTACAAGTACACAAGAATTAAAAATACACTTCTACATCCCTTACATGATGCAAGATAAAAAATAATATTTCTACATCCCTACAAGAATCCAAGATTGTTTATACACTGGGATAGAAAGATACTGTGAACTGAAGGATATTTATTTTATAGATCTCTTAAGAGAGAAATTGAATATATAAGATATAACATCCTATGGAAGGAATAAAATACTAAAAAAAACCTTACCTATGAGGAAATCCTGCTTAGTAGGACCTTTAAAAAATGTTAAAATGAGGTTGCACTGTCATAGAAACTATCAGGTGATCTTTAAATAAAAATGCTCTATCCTTCATATCAGTTTAACGTTTATACCAGTGTAACCCCTTAGATTTTTAAGCTCTGTAGTCTATAAGGGATCCAAGTTTGGTCAGAGGCTCAAGATAGTGAACCAAGGGTTTAAGGCAAAAGATTCAACAATTGCATAAAACCTGAAATCCATTTACATGTATTTATAGAGACCTTATGTGCACATCACAGACCCTATTTGGGATTCTTCATCAAGTTTTTACATTGGTTTTTGGTTTTGGAATATATGCATTTGAATAATAACATTAACATTTTAGTTCATACCTTGTCGGTTTTTTTGTCTTGCTTTTCCAAAATGGCCAAGTTGTCTTTTAGACCTTTCACAATTTCTGCTGGATTTTTGTGTGATTTACTAAACAAAGGCATTTTTTTCATCTATAGAAATCTCTTCTTCCGATACAGAATGCTAAAAACAAACAAACAAGAATCATAAATTTAACTTTTTAAAATTTTTTCTAAAGTTTTTATTTACATTCCAGTTAGTTAAAGTAAGTGTAATGTTAGTTTCCAGTGTATAATATAGTGATTCAACACTTCCATACAACACCCAGTGCTCATCACAAGTGCACTCCTTAATCCCCGTCACCTATTTCCCCCATCCCCCCACCCACCTCCCCTCTGGTAACCAACAGTTTGTTCTCCATAGTTAACAATCTGTTTCTTGGTTTGCCTCTCTCTCTCTCTCTCTCTCTCTCTCTCTCTTCTTTTCCCCTTTGCTCATTTGTTTTGTTTCTTAAATTCCACATATGAGTGAAATCATATGGTATTTGTCTTTCTCTGACTGACTTATTTCACTTAGTATAATACTCTCTAGCTCCAACCATGTTGCAGACGGCAAGATTTTCATTCTTTTTATGGCTGAATAATACTCCATTGTGTACATATACCACTTTATCCATTCATCAATTGATGGACACTTGGGCTGCTTCCATAATTTGGCTATTGTTGATAATGCTGCCATAAACATCGGGGTGCATGTATCCCTTTGAATCAGTCTTTTTGTATTCTTCGGGTAAGTACCTAGTAGTGTGACTGCTGGATTGTGGATAGTTCTATTTTCAACTTTGTGAGGAACCTCCGACCTGTTTTCCAGTGTGGCTATACCAGTTTGCAATGAATTTAACTCCTAACGTGATTAAACTGTTATACCAAAATGTCTTATATGTTTTCAATAACCTTAATTCAGTAATTTGAAACATTAATAGTGATCAAACTAAAATGAGTTTCATCACGTTTTACACCAAATTTAAAAATATATAAATATTTTAAGACATATTTTAAAAACTTTGCCTAAAAGTTTTTACTCAAAGTTTAAAATTTTTTCTACAATACAAATACAAGGATTAGAGAAAGAATCCCAATGGGAAAGGAGTACTTTTAGAGAATAAGCTTACATTTAAAACTAGAATTTTTAACCAATGAGAGTGATGCTGCTGCTGCTGACAACCTGACAATAACGATGGTGTTAGATAAACATGTAAGACAAAAGTGCGATTAGGACCCACATCCTGTGGTAAGGCAATATTTAATGCTACAATCACAAAATCGCAATGTAAAATTATTTAAAATCTCATCTGTTCTTTATTTACTCTTCAAACATTCAGCTGGCCATACTCACTGAGGAAATAAAGACTATCATGGCAGAGGGTGAGGAGAGTGAGGAAAAGGAGTGTTAATTCTTGTTTCTGAGAACATCTATTTACATAGAGCAGAGAAAGCTGAATGTGGCTGTCATTGCCCTACTGTAATGGAAGTATTTAGGGAGAAAATCATAATTGAAGTCTCTAGTTAGGAGAGTACTTTACAGTTATTGGCAAAAATATTTCAAACACTACAGAAACATGATATAATAAATCAAAGTCTTCCATTAACCAACTGCTCAGAGATAACAAATACATCAGTTTGGTATATGTTCCTCCTGAATTTTTTCACACATATAAAATTAGATATATTTTAAAAGAAAAATAGAATAATAGTAAACATAGTATTTTGTAACTTTTTCCCACTTTTTGTATCTTGAATACCATTCTATGAGTATACGTTTAGATCTACTACAATAATTGTATACAATATAGTATTCTATTATACAGATACATCATATAATCATTATGTGGCAATTTCTTATTAAATTACTATATAATTTATTTTACCAATACCCTATTGATGGACATTTGGGTTAACTCCATTTTTTCTAATATTTTTCTGATTAACAATGATTCAACTAGTCAATGGAGAATATTTTACAAATGTGTATACACAAATGTGCACACTAGTGGAGAGCAGCACTCTGCCTAGCTATTCCTGTGGTATAACTATGGCTGTGGTTCTAAATCCCTAATCCCCCTAGATTCCTATTTCCCAAACCTGGTTCCCTAGAACTTCTGTCATTCTGTGAGCTACCTATATCCTTCCAATAAATTCCTTCAGTATTTGTGGTTTGTAATCAAGAATTCCAATAGGACATATATATGTTATGAAGTAGAAATCAAAATGGTTAGTGTGAATTTTGATGATAAAACAAGACTCAAATTCTTGTTTTCAGAAGAAATGCTGTTTTCGATAGAGGTCCCTCAACTCCCCAGTGTGGGGAGACTAAGTGGGAGGGGAACTTGTCCGCTCTCGGGGCAAGGAGAAGTTTGAAAAACAAGTTAAGAGACTCCAGTCAGCCTCTAAAGTGGATACTGAAAGTTGACAGAGCATTCAAAGATAAAGCATGTGAAGATCACAATGATTCTCAGTGGGTAGTGTCAGGTGCAAAAAAAGACAGTCGGAAGAACATTGTATCATGTACTGTTATAAAATTCAAGAATAAAATTATAAAGACACACTAGATTTTTCTTTAATAGTCAGCCCTACACATAAATAAATGAAGGTAAAGTATATTTAAAAGTATATGTAATGTGGAAGCTAGGGTGGGTGCTGAAACAATCATTAGATAGTTGGGCAGAGCAAGCAAACTGTTGCTTCTTACCTAAGTGATCTTGGGCACAGGATGTGATCCCCTTAAGGCTCTGTGATCCCATCTGTAAATGGAGACGATAACATCTCCCTCTCAGGGTTGTGAGGATTAAAGGTAAGTAGAGCACCTTGCACAGGGCCTTGTATAAGTAAAGTACTCTATAATGTTTAGCTGCTATTATTACAAAAAGTTCTATGATATAATGAATGAATTATTTCACAAAAGAGAAAGTCAGAGTAATTGAGACATGATATTGTCTTAATTAAATGTCCTAGACACATCTGGTCCTTGAATCACTTACACATTTTTTCTTTAAAAAAATATACATTTATTCTTTGAAGGTTAAATATTTAATGTTCAAGTACTTAGCATTAGAAGTTTTTTTTAAAGGCTAAATGCATTTGTGTAATTGTTCTATTTCTTCACGTAGTTCTACTGCACTAAGGAAAAGATAATCGACTCAGAATTTCAACTAAATGCTCCCTGACATCAAAATAGAGTGCAAATAAGAATACGGTATCATATATATGATATGACATGATTTTTGTCCGTTACCTATTGCTCTGCTCAGTTCTCACTGTATCAAGCTAATTCTAATGTTAATTCTGGTAATATCACAAATGTTTTCAGGACTCCCATGTTAACATGGTAGTTAGCCGCCATTTCCCAGATTGCTGTCTCCCAGCTTTTTTTTTTTTTCCCAGCTTTTTATTTGCCTGTTGATTTGTTCATTTATTCATTCACTTATTCATTGAACAAACAATCTGAGTAAGCACTAAGCACGGGCACCTTGCTAAATACTTGGGATAGAGCCATGAACAAGAAAAATACAATCCTTGCTCTTTGGAGCTTATTATTAAACAGAGAAAGTAAACATTTTGGGGGCAATGGGATTATATGGCAGAGGGAAAAACACACAGTATAATGCCTCTCAATACAGTACTCCTTTTTTGAATTTGTTATTTTCATATTTTAAGTGTATCTATTTACTATAATAACTATAATATAAAATTAGTTTAATAATTTTTAAAATTTCATAGATCGGGGCGCCTGGGTGGCTCAGTCGTTGGGCGTCTGCCTGCCTTCGGCTCGGGTCATGATCCCAGGGTCCTGGGATCGAGCCCCGCATCAGGCTCCCTGCTCTGCGGGAAGCCTGCTTCTCCCTCTTCTACTCCCCCTGCTTGTGTTCCCTCTCTCGCTGTGTCTCTCTCTGTCAAATAAATAAATAAAATCTTTAAAAAAATAAATAAAATAAAATTTCATAGATCATTATTCTTCAATTCTGGGATCCATATTATGAGGGAAATCAAGACCTATATTTCAAAGTATGCAGTTCCAGCCCCTGATCCCCTATAAATTAAGGTGAAACTCTAACTGCTCTGTTCTCCTCGGACCATAACCAGCCCCACCCCACCCCCAGACTGAAAACATTCCTGCATTACCCTCAAACCCGGGGCTGCCCTTCCTACTTCCCTGGGCAACCATGCAGGACACTTGCATGTGCATCCACCCCAATCACATCATTTACTCCATTAGTCATTTAAAACATGAGCCAACTGGCACTCAGTACTACCTACTAAACAAATACAAGGTACTTAAACCCCCATCTGGTTCTGAGTTGGTAATTGACCACTGTGATTCAGAAATTATCACCCTTGTCTGGGTGTCATTTGTTCTATCTATAAATTGAGGGGATTCTTTTTAAAAAAAATCTAACTGTGAAGTCACCTAGTCATATCATTTAACTCATTTTTCCATTTCATTTATGAAGATATCAAAACAAATCTGTCAAATATTTTGAGAAAGTCCAGATACATTATATTTACGTTAATACTAGTTATTTTATTTATTGCATCCCCATGAACTTATTCTTTTATAACTGGAACTTTGTACTTTTTGAACCCCCTCACCCATTTCACCCACCCCCAACCCCTACCTCTGGCAACCACCAATCTGTTCTCTGTATCTATGAGCTTATTTTTTTTTAATTCCACTTATACTTGAGCTCATACAATATTTTTCTTTCTCTGTCTTACTTCATTTAGCATAATGTCCTCAAGGTCCATCCATATTGACAAATGGCAAGATTTCATTCTTTTTTTATGGGTGAATTAGTATTTATCAGAGAATTATACATATAGAGCACATTTTCTTTATCCATTCATCTATTCTTTTGTTTTAAGATTTTATTTATTTATTTGAGAGACAGAATGAGAGAGGGAGAGAGAGAGCATGAGAGAGGGGAGGATCAGAGGGAGAAGCAGACTCCCTGCTGAGCGGGGAGCCTGAGGCGGGACTCGATCCCAGGACTCCAGGATCATGACCGGAGCTGAAGGCAGTCGCTCAACCAACTGAGCCACCCAGGTGCCCCTATCCATTCATCTATTGATTGGCATTTAGGTTCTTTCCATTTCTTGGTAAATAATACTGCAGTGAACATGGGGGTG